ATTGATCAGGCCGAGGCTGTGTGGATATTGATCGGCGAGACCGCAGTAGAAGCCTGTTGACCAGGTTGACCAGGTATAGTTGTCAAGACCTTAACTCTGGGACGTTGGAAGACTTGACTTGGTATCGGTGTGGAACAGGAGGAGAGAAAATATAATCTACACTGGTTAAAAGTTGGAAGGGAATGGTCCGCAAATATCTGCATCACAGGAAGATCACTCCCTGGTAAGATTAGACTGGATGGGGATCAACCCCCAAAAGTGGCCATGGTACACTAGGGATAACACCATGGTGTCCGGTGGATCACCAGACTTTCTTAACACCCCCATCACGCATAGGCAATTGCAATAAACTCCGGCTGCCTTCAGGAGAGCTTGACAAGTACTAAAGTCATGGTAGTCCTTGCTTGTAGCGCTTGGACTGCAGCGCCAGTACACCTAGTTGATTGCCTTGTCCATACGGGAAGCCTGGTCATGACGGCCGGATGGACTTGATCCACCAAGTACCTCCAGAGTAACAGCTCTGGTATGACAAAGGTAAGTAGACACGAGCGTAATAAATACGTGTAAGCATCCTGATTTAACCATAAGTGAAGGATAGACGTTTAGGTAAGCACTTGAACCTGCCAACGGCAGGTTACCAGCAGTGTGTGTATCTGTACACTTGGAGATCAACTTGGAGATGTACCAGGATCCACCCACCAGATGCAGGTCCTACAGAAAGCTAGTGATAGCTTATCACAGGCTGTTTGTGTATGCAACAACTGTCCTAACGTAACCAATAGCTGGCTATTCGCCACTGTGAGAAAACACCAGCTCCTCCTGAGACAGCCAGGAAGAAATTGACAAGTCTCTCAAGTTCATGATGGTTTTTGTCATCCGCTAGCCTGCCTAGCAGATTACCTAGATGTGCATACCAAGCCAGCTGCTAACGGATACAGCCGGTCAACTAGCCATCAGGACTCGACTTGGCACTGGTACGGCCAGCATGAAAATCCTAGGAAGGATCATGAACGGACAACTGGGGTTTGTACCCTCGTTATCCACTCCAGTGTTATACGTTTCTTGTTACTCATAGTTCCAACTTTAACATTTTTACTAGAGTAAAAGTTAAACATAGTACAACTGTGCAACCCAGATGTTTAGCAGTGTCTAAACTCATCTTGGTGTTTTCTGTACCTGCTAAAGATTTAATTTGTTGTCAGCGTTGGGATTTGCGAGACCATGTGAGTCACAACAGATTGTATGATCCGTAAGGATGATACGGTGCGTGTTTGATTCAGCTTTAGATAATAGGTGAGCACTTAGCCTTGAGGAACAAGTTTTTAGAATGACTGTTATCACAGTTGTACGTTGAACGCACAGTACCCTAGGGAAGGTCACACTCCAGGAAGCACTGACCTGTCTCTGATCAGTATGAGAGATAGCAAAAGTTTGCATGTGTTGGGGCAGCAAACCGCCTGCTACGTCTTGATGGGTATTTGCCTTCAACTGCTATCTCAGACGACTCCAGCCAACCTGACGGCGCAGATACCAATGACGTCTATTAAACAGGATTCTAGAATGATAACCAGGTGGAAATCGAGCAGTAGTGATACTGAATTCCTACAACCCGGCCCTATGCAATAATACACAGTTAGGGTTAGTAACATAAGATCAGGACAAAAATAGAGACAGGTTAAACTGACCATGAACCATCAGTCATAATCGTTCCCTACTTAGACCAATGGTTGTTAACAGTACTAACTAGTTCTTAACATGTTTTAACGTTCTTAACATTTTTTTTTAATATTCAGTTACGGTATCGTAGTACAGAATGGAACCCAGATGTGAACGTCACACAACCGTCACAATCTTGTTCGGAAGTCTGTTGAGTTGAGGGCCAGTCCGACTCGAACAACAGTTAACACTTTCCCTCTGAAGTCTGTGACGAATTCAATTGTTTTTATGGAGAATGTTCACTTGAAGGACGTGTGACACTGTCCAGTACTGTCTTTAGGGTGATATGTCCACTCACAAGACGAGTGACACTGTCCAATAGTCCAAGTTGACAAATAGGCAGCAGAGAGTTTGCATAAATGGGGAGAAATCAAACTGGGGAAGCGTCACGAGCAGTGTTCCACAGGGGTCAGTGTTGGGCCCCCTGCTGTTTACAATATACATAAACGACATAGATGAGGGCATAAAGAGCGACATCGGCAAGTTTGCCGATGACACCAAAATAGGCCGTCGAATTCATTCTGACGAGGACATTAGAGCACTCCAGGAAGATTTGAATAGACTGATGCAGTGGTCGGAGAAGTGGCAGATGCAGTTTAATATAGACAAATGCAAAGTTCTAAATGTTGGACAGGACAGTAACCATGCCACATATAAACTAAATAATGTAGATCTTAATATTACGGATTGTGAAAAAGATTTAGGAGTACTGGTTAGCAGTAATCTGAAACCAAGACAACAGTGCATAAGTGTTCGCAATAAAGCTAATAGAATCCTTGGCTTCATATCAAGAAGCATAAATAATAGGAGTCTTCAGGTTGTTCTTCAACTCTATACATCCTTGGTTAGGCCTCATTTAGATTATGCTGCACAGTTCTGGTCACCGTATTACAGAATGGATATAAATGCTCTGGAAAACGTACAGAGGAGGATGACAAAGTTGATCCCATGTATCAGAAATCTTTCCTATGAGGATAGACAAAGGGCCCTGAATCTGCACTCTCTAGAAAGACGTAGAATTAGGGGGGATATGATTGAGGTGTATAAATGGAAGACAGGAATAAATAAAGGGGATGTAAATAGTGTGCTGAAAATATCTAGCCTAGACAGGACTCGCAGCAATGGTTTTAAGTTAGAAAAATTTCAGATTCAGGAAGGATATAGGAAAGTACTGGTTTGGTAATAGAGTTGTGGATGAGTGGAACAAACTCCCAAGTACAGTTATAGAGGCCAGAACGTTGTGTAGCTTTAAAAATAGGTTGGATAAATACATGAGTAGGTGTGGGTGGGTGTGAGTTGGACCTGATTAGCATGTGCTGCTAGGTCAATTGCCGTGTTTCTTGGGTGAATGTGACCTGACCTGACTAGGTTGGGGCATTGGCTTAAGCCGGTAGGAGACTTGGAGCTGCCTGGCACGGGCCAGTAGGCCTTCTGCAGTGTTCCTTCTTTCTTATGTTCTTATATATAGATATTTTTACATCCGTATTATGACATATTACACCCGTATAATTGCACATTATAGACGTATTTCTTTGTCATTGACTGCTGCCATAGGTATTATCACCTTAATGGTATTAAGTACCCACATGTTGATAAATAAGACAAGTTGAACACCTGGGTATCTGGGTATCTCTCTGTGAAGACAGATACCCAGGAGATGGAGGAATTTTGAGGCGTTTAGTTTCCCAGACTTGAGTGAGGAATCTTCTAGGTTGGACTAAACTAGATTCGTCACTCAGGACTGATAGGTGTCGAGTCCCTTAGCTTTGAGAAAAGTAAAAGATGTGCGAATCCATTCCATTGTTTTATCAAGATTCAGGAACTTAACACCTATCAAGGCTTAGGTATTGCTATATGTATTTATATCGGCATCTTAGTGCTCGTGTATGATTGTAAGTTGATGCTCTGTATGAGTAATGTCTTGTATAATCTGTGTGTGTGTGTTAGTTACCATTTTGTCCTAGGCACATGTTTAGACACTAGGCCTGTTGTATATACGTACATGTGTGTGTATGTGAGTTTGTGTGTGTGTGTTGTGTGTGTGTGTATACTCACCTAATTGTGGTTGCAGGGGTCGAGTCTCAGCTCCTGATCCCGCCTCTGCTGGTCGCTACTGGTTTCATACCTATTCTTAAAGCTATGTGTGGATTCTGCCACTACCTCTTCACTGTCCAGGGTTACCTGGAGACGCTTCCGGAGGTCAGCGCCCCCGCGGCCCAGTCACAGACCAGCCCTCGTGGTTGCTGTCTTGATCAATCAAGCTGTCAGTGCCCGCCGTCAGTCATCTAACATATGCACCACAATCCGGCTGATCAGGAACTGCTTTCTGGAAGCTGTCGAGTTCCCTCTTGAAGACAGTCAGGGGTGTGTGTGTGTGTGTGTGTGTGTATCATATCTGTTTGTGTTTGTACTTGCCTAGAGAAGACTGAATGATTTAATTTACATGATTCGTGTCGCATTTTGTGATTTGCTCGTAAAGTGTGAGTAACATTTTAATTACTAAGTTTTCCCCTTTCTCATCCTGGTGTCTCTCACAACAGTCACTGCCTTTGTAATATTGAAGCCCATGGGTATCTTTCATGTTGTGATTATTGCCGCCTCCAAACCACCCCTCTAGGATTGTTATATTATTATTATAATCCAGAGAGAGCACTAAACCCATAGGATTATACAGCGCCTGTGGGGGGGGGGACGTGGAAGGTATTCAGGCTTAATTCAGGGAACTGGAGCACAGATCCAATTCCTTAGATCAAGAGCCCCTCCCCAGCGTCAAGGAACCTTCCTTGAGGGGTAGCATTGTTGTAACCAGTGGTGGCTCGTGCAGGGGGCACTGCGAAACTGCAGCACCCCCTATTTTCACTCGATATTCTCGATAACATTCAATATAATGAGTTTTTTTTTTCTTTTAATTCCTTTTCTTAAAGAAAATAGGGGGTGCTGCAGTAGTGCAGCACCCCCACACGAGCCGCCATTGGTTAGTACCTCTGGTGCTTGTGGTGTTTACGTTACAGGTTTTGTGAACATTAAAATGGTATAAAATACCGACAGGTTGTTAGGTAAGACACATATGCAACAGTTAGGTATCTTTATTTTGAAACGTTTCGCCTACACAGTAGGCTTCTTCAGTCGAGTACAGAAAAGTTGATAGAAGCAGAAGATACTTGAAGACGATGTAATCAGTCCATCACCCTTAAGGGTGATGGACTGTACTCGACTGAAGAAGCCTACTGTGTAGGCGAAACGTTTCAAAATAAAGATACCTAACTGTTGCATATGTGTCTTACCTAACAACAGGTTTTGTACTCTCTTCAGGAACATTGAGGGGAGACTACAGGAAAGTGATCTTACTGTGAAGTATGTACGTGCTCGGCTCCCCAGGATTGTTCTCCTTATTGAGGATACAAGTGTTATGATCGTACAGGTAAGTGTATTCCTGTGTTTATATATTTGTTGACTTTCAGGGGATGAGCTCTATCTCTAGGGCTCAGCTTAACACATCAACAGTCTACTGGTATGACCTGAGTTCCATTATATTTGTGTTAGTGTTCATATACTGTGTGTGTAGTCACCTATTTGTGGTTGCAGGGGTCGAGACATAGCTCCTGGCCTCGCCTCTTCACTGATCGTTACTAGATCCTCTCCTTGCTCCATGAGCTTTATCATACCTCGTCTTAAAACTATGTATGGTTCCTGCCTCCACTACATCACTTGCCAGACTATTCCACTTCCTGACAACTCTGACTAAAGAAATGCTTCCTAACATCTCTTTGACTCATCTTCAATTTCCAACTGTGACCCCTTGTTTCTGTGTCCCATCTCTGGAACATCCTATCTTTGTCCACCTCGTTAATTCCTCGCTGTATTTTGTATGTCGCTATTATGTCTCCCCTGTCCCTCCTGTACTCCAGTGTCGTCAGGCCGAGCGCGTGTGTGTGTGTGTGTGTGTGTGTGTGTGTGTGTGTGTGTGTGTGTGTGTGTGTGTGTGTGTGTGTGTGTGTGTGTTTGTGTGCGTGCATGTCTGCGCGTGTGTTGTGTTCATGTCGTCCCTGTGCGGCTAGTGTCGCTTGCGTGCGTGCGCGCGCCATGCGAGTGTGGTTCGTGCGTGCGCATGCTTGACGAGATGTGAGTTGAGGCATGCACAAAGTAGGTTGTACTCCTACTACCTCCTACCCCGTCCCACCTACACCTACCTCCTACCTCGTACCTCCTTACCTACCTACCTACCACTGTTCCTGTACCTACCATGGTAGCCACCTCTACCTGCTACCCACTTTATTCTTTCCTACCTACTACCTCACCCACTCCACCTACTACCAGTCCTTCAACCTCATCCTCAACCTCCTACCACCTACCTACTACCACGCCACCACCTAGCCGCCCACCATCCCGACCACCTACTCACCAACTACCTACCTACCCACCTACTACCTGCCTACCACCCACCCACCCACCCACCACCTACCCACCTCACCCACCACCACTACCACTACCACCTACCTCACCACCACTCCCACCTACCACCCACCACTACTCCACCACCCCACCTACCACCTACCTACCACTCCTACCTACCTACCACCTACCTACCTCCTACCTACCTACCTACCACACATGTGGTAGCTAGACTCATGGCTACCACATGTGACTCCATTTCTCTATGTCCTCTGTATTCCACTGAATGGCTAGCCTGACCTGACTACCACACCCAGTAGTTTATGGACTAACAGTGAGCCTACGTGCCTAGTCACATCGAGGGCAGTTGGGTACAGTGGCATGACCTGTAGCATCAACATAAGGTGGCCAGTGGTGCCCGTGTAGTTCAGCCATCGGGGTACCTACCACTACTCCACGCCAGCACCACTACTAGCATATCCTACCTACTGCATTGTTCCCTATTACACTACTTCCATAGGTGCACTCTCTCGTATCCCTAGCTTTACCAGACATGTCTGGGTGAGGTGTAGTGTCCTCGGTGCAAGCAGTGTCAGTCTGGTGCAGTGTTGTGTCCCAGCTTGAAGAGTGACGTGTCAACGTGTGTGGCAGTGTTGTGTCCCTGCGGTGAAGGAGTAGTTCGACGTACAGGGCTGCCTGTGTCCCTCGGTGAGGGACGTGAGCGAGTCCAGATGTACTGGTGGCAGTGTGTGTGTCCCTGGGTTGAGGGGAGTGAGGTGTCAGTGTAGGTGGCAGGGTGTGTGTCCCTGGTTGAGGAGTGAGGTGTCAGTGTGGTGGCAGGTGTGTGTGCCCTGGGTTGAGGGATGAGGTGTCAGTGTGGTGCAGGTGTGTGTGTCCCTGGGTTGAGGGAGTGAGGTGTCAGTGTGGTGGCAGGTGTTGTGTCCCTGGTTGAGGGAGTGAGGTTCAGTGTGGTGGCAGGTGTGTGTGTCCCTGGGTTGAAGGGAGTGAGGTGTCAGTGTGTGGCAGGTTGTGTGTTTCCCTGGGTTGAGGGGAGTGAGGTGTCAGTGTGGTGCAGGTGTGTGTGTCCCTGGGTTGAGGGGAGTGAGGTGTCAGGTGGTGGCAGGTGTGTGTGTCCCTGGGTTGAGGGGAGTGAGGTGTCAGTGTGGTGGCAGGTGTGTGTGTCCCTGGGTGAGGGGAGTGAGGTGTCAGTGTGGTGGCAGGTGTGTGTGTCCCTGGGTTGAGGGAGTGAGGTGTCAGTGTGGTGGCAGGTGTGTGTGTCCCTGGGTTGAGGGAGTGAGGTGTCAGTGTGGTGGCAGGTGTGTGTGTCCCTGGGTTGAGGAGTGAGGTATTGTGTGCAGGTGGTGTGCCTGGTGTGAGGGTGAGGTGCAGTGTGGTGGCAGTGTGGTCCCTGGGTTGAGGGAGTGAGGTGTCAGTGTGGTGGCAGGTGTGTGTGTCCCTGGGTTGAGGGAGTGAGGTGTCAGTGTGGTGGCAGGGTGTGTCCTGGTTGAGGAGTGAGGTCAGTGTGGTAGGTGTGTGTCCCTGGGTTGAAGGGAGTGAGGTGTCAGTGTGGTGGCAGGTGTGTGTGTCCCTGGGTTGAGGAGTGAGTGTCAGGGTGCAGTGTGTGTCCTGGTTGAGGAGTAGGTGTCAGTGGCAGGTTGTGTCCCTGGGTTGAGGGGAGTGAGGTGTCAGTGTGGTGGCAGGTGTGTGTGTCCCTGGGTTGAAGGGAGTGAGGTGTCAGTGTGGTGGCAGGTGTGTGTGTCCCTGGGTTGAAGGGAGTGAGGTGTCAGTGTGGTGGCAGGTGTGTGTGTCCCTGGGTTGAGGGGAGTGAGGTGTCAGTGTGGTGGCAGGTGTGTGTGTCCCTGGGTTGAGGGGAGTGAGGTGTCAGTGTGGTGGCAGGTGTGTGTGTCCCTGGGTTGAGGGAGTGAGGTGTCAGTGTGGTGGCAGGTGTGTGTGTCCCTGGGTTGAGGGAGTGAGGTGTCAGTGTGGTGGCAGTGTGTGTGTCCTGGGTTGAGGGAGTGAGGTGTCAGTGTGGTGGCAGGTGTGTGTGTCCCTGGGTTGAGGGAGTGAGGTGTCAGTGTGGTGGCAGGTGTGTGTGTCCCTGGGTTGAGGGAGTGAGGTGTCAGTGTGGTGGCAGGTGTGTGTGTCCCTGGGTTGAGGGGAGTGAGGTGTCAGTGTGGTGGCAGGTGTGTGTGTCCCTGGGTTGAGGGGAGTGCAGGTGGGCAGGTGTGTTTCCATGGTTGAGGGAGGTGTGTGTGTGGCAGGTGTGTTCCCTGGGTTGAGGGAGTGAGGTGTCAGTGTGGTGGCAGGTGTGTGTGTCCCTGGGTTGAGGGGAGTGAGGTGTCAGTGTGGTGGCAGGTGTGTGTGTCCCTGGGTTGAGGGAGTGAGGTGTCAGTGTGGTGGCAGGTGTGTGTGTCCCTGGGTTGAGGGGAGTCGAGGTGTCAGTGTGGTGGCAGGTGTGTGTGTCCCTGGGTTGAGGGGACGAGGTGTCAGTGTGGTGGCAGGTGTGTGTGTCCCTGGGTTGAGGGAGTGAGGTGTCAGTGTGGTGGCAGGTGTGTGTGTCCCTGGGTTGAGGGGAGCGAGGTGTCAGTGTGGTGGCAGGTGTGTGTGTCCCTGGGTTGAGGGGAGTGAGGTGTCAGTGTGGTGGCAGGTGTGTGTGTCCCTGGGTTGAGGGGAGCGAGGTGTCAGTGTGGTGGCAGGTGTGTGTGTCCCTGGGTTGAAGGGAGCGAGGTGTCAGTGTGGTGGCAGGTGTGTGTGTCCCTGGGTTGAAGGGGAGCGAGGTGTCAGTGTGGTGGCAGGTGTGTGTGTCCCTGGGTTGAGGGGAGCGAGGTGTCAGTTGTGGTGGCAGGTGTGTGTGTCCCTGGGTTGAGGGGAGCGAGGTGTCAGTGTGGTGGCAGGTGTGTGTGTCCCTGGGTTGAGGGGAGGAGGTGTCAGTGTGGTGGCAGGTGTGTGTGTCCCTGGGTTGAGGGAGCGAGGTGTCAGTGTGGTGGCAGGTGTGTGTGTCCCTGGGTTGAGGGGAGCGAGGTGTCAGTGTGGTGGCAGGTGTGTGTGTCCCTGGGTTGAGGGGAGCGAGGTGTCAGTGTGGTGGCAGGTGTGTGTGTCCCTGGGTTGAGGGAGCGAGGTGTCAGTGTGGTGGCAGGTGTGTGTGTCCCTGGGTTGAAGGGAGCGAGGTGTCAGTGTGGTGGCAGGTGTGTGTGTCCCTGGGTTGAAGGGAGCGAGGTGTCAGTGTGGTGGCAGGTGTGTGTGTCCCTGGGTTGAAGGGAGCGAGGTGTCAGTGTGGTGGCAGGTGTGTGTGTCCCTGGGTTGAAGGGAGCGAGGTGTCAGTGTGGTGGCAGGTGTGTGTGTCCCTGGGTTGAAGGGAGTGAGGTGTCAGTGTGGTGGCAGGTGTGTGTGTCCCTGGGTTGAAGGGAGCGAGGTGTCAGTGTGGTGGCAGGTGTGTGTGTCCCTGGGTTGAAGGGAGCGAGGTGTCAGTGTGGTGGCAGGTGTGTGTGTCCCTGGGTTGAGGGAGCGAGGTGTCAGTGTGGTGGAGGGATGTGTGTCCCTGGTTGAGGGGAGAGTGTCAGTGTGGTGGCAGGTGTGTGTTCCCTGGGTTGAAGGGGAGTCGTGGTGGTCATGTGTTGGGTGGTGCAGTGGTGCGTGTGTGTCCCTGGGTTGAAGGGAGCGAGGTGTCAGTGTGGTGGCAGGTGTGTGTGTCCCTGGGTTGAGGGGAGCGAGGTGTCAGTGTGGTGGCAGGTGTGTGTCCCTGGGTTGAAGGGAGCGAGGTGTCAGTGTGGTGGCAGGTGTGTGTGTCCCTGGGTTGAAGGGAGCGAGGTGTCAGTGTGGTGGCAGGGTGTGTGTCCCTGGGTTGAGGGAGCGAGGTGTCAGTGTGGTGGCAGGTGTGTGTGTCCCTGGGTTGAGAGGGAGCGAGGTGTCAGTGTGGTGGCAGTGTGTGTGTCCCTGGGTTGAAGGGAGCGAGGTGTCAGTGTGGTGGCAGGTGTGTGTGTCCCTGGGTTGAAGGGGAGTGAGTGTCAGTGGTGGCAGTGTGTGTCTGGG